AAAAATTTATTTTTGAAAATCCAAGTTATTCAAAAATAGTAAACTTTTCATCATATAAAATTTTAAATTAGTCTATTGCATGTCTTATTTTGTGCATATATATTTATATAAATTATTTTTTTTAAATTCATTGAACCGGGGTCGAACCAGTCGGATCGATTGAATCTCGACCCTTTCATTTCACCGGTTCAATTGACGATCCGGGTTTTAAAACATTGGTTTCAGCAAGTTCAAGAGGGGTGAGAGAGGAAATGTAGGCATTCACCAATAGCTCGGAAAGGAGATTGCAGCCAAGGATGGCAAACTTCTCAATTCCCAATAATAATCTTTTCTCTAGATATCTAAGTTGTCTTTTTTTCTTTTGCTGTAGGAAAGAGAGTTTTGAGTTGCATGTTTTCTCGGAAAGAAATCCATTGGTAGTCTCCTCAAAGCAACAAGATAGAAGGCTGTAGAAGATAGAAAATCGAGGCACCAAAATAAGTAAGGAATTGCTATGACTAGGAGAGCTTCATGCTATGTTTTAACAGAATAAACAAACAAAATCAATGTCCATGAGTGAAAGGCAAGCACATCCAACAGCGCCTACCAACTCAAGACTAACTCCACTATCTCATTGAAATGGTAATAAAACAGCCCCAAGATGGCTCTCATTTACACTATAACTGGACCATTATAAAATGAGATCAAGAGCACAAAACTGCATATGGGATATGAAAAGCATTCTTACGAGTACCTAGATACCGTAATGCTGCATATCAATACGTTTCCATAACTCATGTGGAGAAATGGCATTCATCAACTGTCCAGTCATCCATGGCCAATCCATCGAATAGCTGGGTACCGCAGCTCTGCCATATTATAAAATGAAAGTATATGCAGTGGCCCCGTTCTGGGCCTAGACAAGTGGCAGCCCAGGCTCAGCCGAGCCGGGCCACGGCCCCTGATGTCCGGGCAGCCATCTTGGGCCGTCCCGCTAGGGCTCGCGAATGGGGCAGGGGTCCACGCCGAAGAGGTCGGGGACAATCCCCCTGAGTGCGGGATACTATCCATACTGGGCAAGTCCCGCATCGTGCGGAGGTCGGACTCCCCCACCAGGTATAAATAACAGCAGACATCAACTGTACAAGGTACGCTCAATATAGGCAAATTACTCCCGGTCGTTACTACTTCCCGTGAACCCTACTCGTCGGAAAACTAACTTGACCGTCGGAGTGCCCTCGGGGACAACTCTCGGGCCCCCTCTGTTAGCTCATCTCTTCTGTTTTGCAGGCTTGGAGTCAGCTCTGCCGTCAGCACCCCGAGCTGATCAGGTCAGCTCTCCTCGAGAAAGTTCCGTGCTTCTTCAATTGGCGCCGTCTATGGGAAACGTAAGGTAAGTGAGATTGTGCTGATCGCCAGGACGCGATCCAAGCGCACGGTAGAAGGCACCAGCCCGGGGGGCGGTGAAGGATCCCAGCGAAAGGAAGCTGAGGCGTCTCGGGGCGCCGGGGGCTCAGCCCTTTCAGGGGAGCGCAGGCAGCAGATCTTCCAGTTTGTGACGGAGAATCTCCCCATGCTGGAAGATATAATCCAGCAGGCGAAGGAGGGGGAGGAGGCTAGAGGCGCGCAGACCTCCAAGGCGAAGGGGAAGGAGAATGAGACATTCCCCGAACCCTCTGAGGATGAGTCGCGCGACCGACCTCCCCGGAGGAAAAGACCACGAACTCCTCCCCGTCCGCGAGCCTCGGTGGTCGGAGACAGCGAGAGGTATTCCCGCGACAGGTCCGCGAGGAGCCATCCCAGAGATCTCTCCCCGAGGAGGCCCACACGGAATGGGTTCGAGCGTTCCCCTGCTCGATCTGTCAAAAGCCGACCCCGCGACCCCCTTCACCTGGAACCTGCTCGGGATGAGCTCGAGCAGATCTTGAGACCCCGGCCATACGAGGACAACTACGCAACCTCGCCCTTTACCCGGGAGATAGAAGACTACCCCCTACCCCGGAGGTTTAAGATTCCGAGCATTGAGATGTACGATGCCTCTACAGGCCCGGAATACCACCTCTCGGTCTTCCTGACGCATATGCGCCTGCAAACCGCCGCGGATGAGGTCCGCTGCAAGACCTTCCCTATGTTCCTAAAGGGGAAGGGGAAGGCTCTGGTTCCAGGGACTGAAACCGGGGTCTATACGGAGCTTTCCAGAGTTGGCCCGGCAGTTCGCAGCCCAGTTCGTTTCCTCGAAGGTCTACGCGAGGAATGCGACCCACCTGATGTCCATCAGGCAAAGGCCCGACGAGACACTGAAGAATTTCATGACCCGCTTCAATGCGGAGAGCTTGCAGGTCAGGGACAAGGACGAGAAAGTGGTGATGGCCGCCTTCACAAACGGACTCAGGGTAGAGGAGCTCTTCTACGACCTGGCCAAGAAGCCTCCCGCAAACCTGGAGGAGCTCCTACGCAGGGCGCACGAGGCCGCTAATGCGGAGGAGGCAGGTCGCCTGAAGAAAGAGTCAGATCGGGAGCTCGGAGATCGCAAAGGCCGGACGAACCCCCCAGAGGGCAAGGACGTCCTGTCCAAGAAGAACGTCTTCGACCGGCTCTCGAAGGAGAAGGCCCCTGCTCTGCCGCCACTCCCAGAGAAGACCTACACCCCTCTAACACGGCCTAGAGCCCAAATCTTGGCTGTTATGGAGGCGGAAGGACTGGGAGATCGGCCACCCAAGATGGGGACGCCCCGAAACAAAATGAACCAGGACAAGTACTGCGCCTTTCACTGCGACGTCGGACACGACACGGAAGGATGTTGGGTCCTGCGTAAGGAGATAGAAGACCTGATCCAGCGCGAATTTTTGGGGCGGTTCGTGCGCCGACCAGGTCAGAAGTTCGGACGTAACCACTACGGGGATAGGCACGAGGAACGGCGGCGCGACCGCCCTGAGCGGCGTGACGCTCATCGGGGCCACTCTCCCGACCAGGACACTCAGAACTTGGCGGGAGTGATAAACACCATTGCTGGAGGCCCCACAGGAGGGGACAGTCATGCCGCTCGGAGGAACAAGCGACCACCCTCCGAAGGGGATGACTCCTTGAAGCGTTTGCGCATGGACGAGGAGATTACCTTCGGACCAAGAGATGCGGTTCCCCTAGCGTCTAGGAATCACGAGGCTATAGTGATAGACATTGTCACCAACAACTATCGGGTGAAGTAGGTGTATGTCGACTAAGGTAGCGCGGTCGACATTATGTTCTACCGGGTTTTCAAGGAGCTCGGCTTAAGGGATGACCAGCTGACCCCGGTCCGGACACCTCTGGTGGGCTTCACCGGACCACCTATCAGCTCGGAAGGAATGATCACCCTGATGGTCACAGTAGGACAGGCCCCCAAATACCGGACAGTTCCCGTCAACTTCGTGGTGGTCAAGCAGTCGTCCCCGTACAATGTGTTCTTGGGGAGACCTGCTTTGAACGCCCTCAGGGTTATCCCCTCTACCTTCCACCTCAGCGTCAAGTTCCCTACTCCAGGTGGGATAGCCGAGGTGCACGGTGATCCGGAGGTGGCCAGAGTTTGCTACCTGGCCACGCTCCGGGGGCAGGAGAAGGTGGTCGCCCAAACAACCTGTTTGGAGCCCTACATCCCGGGGGATGAGGCCCAACAGCTGGGCACCCAGGATGAGATTGAGGAGTTCCCCCTAAGAGAGGATCGGCCCGACCAGGTTCTCCGCATTGGAGCCTTGTTGCCCGCCAAGGAGAAGAACGGCTTGAAGGCTCTGCTGAGGGAATACTCCCAGGTCTTCGCCTGGACGGTGGAAGACATGCCCGGGATCCCGACAGACCTGGCAGTCCATCACCTCGACGTGGACCCTCACTTCAAGCCAGTGAACCAGAAGAAAAGGAGCTTTGCCCCCGAGAGAAATGAGGTGATCAAGGCGGAGGTCAGTAAGTTGCTTGAGTCCAAGATCATCCTGGAGATCTACTACCCGACCTGGCTGGCCAATCCCGTCCTGGTCAAGAAGGAGAACCAGACCTGGAGGATGTGCGTAGACTTTACGGATCTTAACAAAGCCTGCCCGAAGGACTGCTTTCCCCTGCCTAGAATCGACAGGTTAGTAGACTCTACTGTGGGTTTTGACGTTTTATGCTTTCTGGATGCCTTTAAGGGATATCACCAGATAGAGATGGCTGAAGGGGATCGGGACAAAACCTCCTTCATCACCGAGGAGGGAACCTACTGCTACAGGACCATGCCGTTCGGGTTGAAGAATGCAGGAGCTACTTACCAACGCCTGGTGAACAAGTTATTCCAAAACCAGATCGGCAGAAGCATGGAGGTTTATGTTGACGACATGATCGTCAAAAGTCGAACTGACCAGCGGCTCATACCCGACCTGCGGGAAATCTTGGACATCCTACTGGAGAGCCGGATGCACCTAAATCCGAAGAAGTGCACTTTTGGGGTCAGATCGGGAAGGTTCCTCAGATTCCTGGTGTCCCGAGACGGAATCCAGGCCAATCCGGATAAGCTCCAGGCCATCATGGACATGGCTCCTCCAAGGAACGTGAAGGAAGTCCAACGGCTCACAGGGAGGTTGGCCGCCCTGAGTAGGTTCCTCTCGCGCTCCGCGGTCCGAGGGTTGCCCTTCTTCAAAGTCTTAAGGGCGGCTAAGGATTTTCATTGGATAGAGGAATGACAGAAAGCCTTCGCCGACCTGAAAGACTATTTGGCCGAGCTACCAATTCTGACCGCCCCGGAGTTGGGGGAGACCCTACTCCTATACCTGTCCGCTTGCAACGAGGCCGTCAGTGCGGTCTTGGTGCGGGAGGACGGGGGGGCTCAGAGGCCGGTGTATTACGTCAGCCGAGCTCTACAGGGGCCAGAGACGCGATACTCGCCGGCCGAGAAGCTGGTTCTTGCCTTGGTGCATGCTGCTCGCAAGTTTCGCCTTTACTTCCAAGCTCACAGCATTGTAGTCCTGACCGACCAGCCCTTACGGCAGATACTCACCAAGCCCGAGGTCTCGGGCAGGATGACCAAGTGGGCCGTTGAGCTGGCCGAGCACGACCTTAGCTACCGGTCTCGCACCGCGATCAAGGCTCAGGTCTTGGCAGACTTCCTGGCTGAGGGGGCTAACTTAAGACTGGCCGAGCTAGAACCAGCACCTGCGGATGCCCAGACGGAGGAACCATGGGTGCTGTTCGTGGATGGTGCCTCGAGCAAGGAGGGGAGCGGAGCTGGCCTACTGCTCACCTCGCCTACCGGTGAAGAGCTGACCTACGCTCTTAGGTTTGATTTCCCAGCGTCTAACAACGAGGCAGAGTACGAGGCCCTGTTGACGGGACTGCGGATAGCCCACCAGATGGGCATCACCGCGATCAGAGTTCGGAGCGACTCTCAGCTCGTCGTCCTCCAGGTTCGCGGGGAGTATGAAGCCAAGGACGATGTCATGAAAAAATACCTGGCTAAGGTACGGGAGGTAGTAGCCCTGTTCGGGACCTTTGAAATCGAGCGGGTGCCAAGGTCCCAGAACAAGCGGGCAGACGCCCTTTCAAAATTGGCATCCTCCTCATTTGCCCATCTGAGTAAGGAGGTCTTGGTAGAGGTGGTGAAGCAGAAAAGTATCGATCAGGTTCAGGTCCTGGCTATAGATAGCCCGGCTACCTGGATGACGCCCCTTATTGACTTCCTCAGCTCGGGTGCCCTCCCTGGGAACAAAACCGAGGCTCGCCGAATCCAGATCCGAGCTACCAAGTACGCCTACGCCGGGGGAACCCTCTACAGGAGGTCGTACTTGTCCCCCTGGCTAAAGTGTGTGACGCCCGAGGAAGGTGACTACGTTCTGCGTGAGATCCATGAAGGTATATGTGCGGCACATGTGGGGTCCCGGGTGTTAGCCAAAAAGTGCCTACTTTTGGGCTACTATTGGCCCTCCGTCTTCCGAGACGCAGCAGACCTGGTCCAGAAATGCCGAGCTTGCCAAGTGCACGCTTCGTTGCGCCATCAGCCAGCTCGGGAGATGGTCCCCTTCCACAGTCCTTGGCCCTTTGTTCAATGGGGGATAGACCTCCTGGGTCCCTTCCCCCGAGCCCCAGGAAGGTATGAGCACCTCGTGGTGGCAATAGACTACTTCACAAAGTGGGTAGAAGCGGAGCCCCTGGTCTCCATCTCTGGAAAGGCAATTCAGAAATTCTTCTGGAGGAACATAGTGTGTCGCTTCGGGATTCCGCACGTCCTGATATCCGACAACGGCCGCCAGTTCGCCGAGAACCCTTTCCGGAGCTGGTGCGCTGAGCTCGAAATTCACCAACACTTCACGTCGGTCGGTCACCCCCAAGCCAATGGCCAGGTGGAGAACGCTAACCGAACTGTTCTGCAAGGGTTAAAGACTAGACTGGGGTCCGCCCAATCGAGCTAGCTGGATGAGCTCCCCAGTGTCCTCTGGGCTTACTGCACTACGCCCAGGACGGCTACCCACGAGACCCCGTTCTCCCTAACTTACGGAGTCGAGGCTGTGGTGCCCGCGGAGGTCGGTCTTCCCTCACCCAGAACGTAGAACTTCGTGGCAACATCCAATGAGGAAGAGTTCAGGTGCAACTTGGACATGCTCGAAGTCAGGCGTGCGGAAGCGGCCGTTCGAATGGCTAAGTATAAAAGCCAGCTTGCCCGCTATCACAACGCCAAAGTGAGGACTACACAGTACCAGCCCGGAGACCTCGTCCTAAGAAAGAATTCTGTCAGCCGAGCTCACAACTCCAACAAGCTCGACCCAAATTGGGAGGGCCCCTATAAGGTCCTTGAGGTAGGCCGAGCTGGTTACTGCAAACTCGCCAACGTAGACGGATCTGAGGTACCCCGTACTTGGCACTTCTCCAATCTGCGCCTGTTTGTAGCGTAGGGTAGACCAGAATGTCCAGTTGCTTGTGCTCTGGAATCTGAATTTTTTGTTTTATCATTCAATAAAAGGCCGACTTCACAGTTTGCACTTATACTTGTTCTAGGTTTCCCTTGTACTTGTTTCCTTTCGAAAGCTCAAAGTTTGTACCTTACACTAGCACACTTAGCGATGCCTCGCTAAATGTCCTAGTGGGGGGCTAGGGTTAGTAAGCACGGTTCCAAGTTAGTGTTCGGCCCAAGAGGTCGGCACGATCAAGCAAAAACGTGGAAACTTGGAAGGATTCTGGGTTCGGAAGCCCGACAATCCAAGTTAGTGTTCGGCCCCAAAGGTCGGCATGATCGATCAAAAACGTGAAAACTTAGTGTTCGGCCCAAGAGGTCGGCGCGATCGAGGTATGGTGCTCGGCCCAAGAGGTCGGCATGGGTTAAATCCTCCCAAGCTTCTAAGTCAGCGCACGGCCCAGGAGGTCGGCACGATTAAGAATTTGAATTGAAACTGATGCTCGACCCCTAGAGGTCGGCACGGCAGAATTGGGAGCAGGTAAGAAATGCAGAATAAATTTTCTCAAGTTTTATATATGCATTCGAAGCCTATCTATTACAAGGACTACAGAGTCTGCGAGCAGTCTATCTATTACAAAGCGCCCTGCCTATCTACCGCTAAACTTCCGAGTTGGCAATCCCCTTCGATGTCTATTCTACCTGCTGGTGGCCCGACCTGGGTGGGAGCTGAAAGTACACCTTAAGCATGTTGAGAGGCGTACGGTGAAGGCTATTCAGGAGCCCGGTCGGAACCTTCCCGTCTCGGATGGACCCCCAAGAGCATTTTCAACTGGAGCATGGTCACATCCTTATAAAAAGACGGAAAGGGTTTCTGGAGTGGCCGCCGCCCTAGACCACTGGCTCCTTCCCGGCAGCTCGGCCAGGAGACCCGCCCTCCTCCAAGGGAACCTCCTCCAACACGGCCCCAGTGTCAGTCCGGGCGACTAGCTCCTTCAGGGAGTGCCCCTTGCGGTACCCGTCGAAGAGCCAGTCCAGCCTCGCCTCGGCCGCGGGGTTGTAGTCTTTGAAGCTCGCCAAGTCGAGACCAGGAGGATTGAGCTTTTTCACCTGGTCCAGGGCCCGGGTGCAGCCGACCTGGAGGATGGGCAGGTTGAGGTGAGCGATGTCCTCCTCAAACTGCTCAGAAGTAAGGAACTCCCGAACAGCCTTCTTCCGCTCCCGGCTGACGGTGCCGGAGAGCTCGATGGCGTGCTCCTCCTTCAGCTTGGCCACACTGGCCTTCTCCTGGTCGAGCTCCGACCTGGTGGAGGCAAGCTGGACCTGAGCTGTGTCCAGCTCCTTCTCGGCCTTGCCCAGTTGGGTCTTGAGGGAGCTCGCCTCCTTAAGGGCCTGGGACAGCCCCTTCTCTGCCTCCAGGTTCTTTTTCCTCAACGTCTCCAGGTCGGGGGACAGCTCGGAGAAGCGGGTCGCTAGGGAGGTGCCAGCGGCGTTGGCCTGAAGGGGAAAGGAAGCAGGTCAGCACGACACACTACTTAACCGAGACACGGAGGCAAAACCATCCCTAGGGCTAGACTTACTTGAGCCTGGGCGGTGTAATACGCGTCCAGGAGCTCGGAAGGGTCGGCCAGCTCCATCCACCTCTTGTCGCGAGGAAGGACCGAACCCACCATCAGCTCGCGAGCCGCCTCGGGGAACTGGGCTCGGTCGTTGATGGAAAGCTTCCAGGACGGGCAGAAGTGGCGGGGGTCATGCATCGTGGGGGCTTGGCCCGGCTTCAAAGGAGCGACGTGGCGGAAGTGCCACAAGCTCGGAAAGGGCGACTCCTGGGCGTGCTCCTCAGCGGAGCCCACGCCCAGATGGACTGGCCCCCCCGAGGCCAGTGCAAGCGGAGGGGGCTGAGCTGGAACCATCGCGAGCTTCTTCGCGGGCTGGGAGGGCTCGTCCCCTCGCCCCCTCTTCTGCCTGGCTGCCTTCTTCTTGTTGCCGGCAGCCTTCTTGGTGGGGGAGGGGGTTTCCTGCGTTTCCTTCTGGGGGGCTTGGCTGCCCCCCACGGTTGAGGCCGCCCCAGGGCCCTCCTGGGCAGCTTCTGGCTGAGAAATGGTGGTGGCCTCCTCAGTGGGCGCACCCAACAGCTTGGATAGATTCCTCACTGCAAAAGAACAACCAGGTCAGTATACTTATATATATATATATATGCAAATGCAACGGGCTACAGGGTTAGGGCCAGCGTTACAGGCGTCAAGGTTGACAGGGGAGGCCTCCACCTCGCCCGAGGACCCGGACAATGTCCCCGTCAGTCCGGCGGCAGAGATCTGCTCGCTGGAGAACTTGGTGGCCGTGAGCTTCACCTTAGAGTTCAGCAACTGGGAGAGGGTTTCATAGTCCAGGTCCTTGGGGTAGGGGTCGAGCTTGACCGCCCCGACCCTCCAGGCGGTGGCGTCAAGGCCGATGGATTTTATAAAAAAGAAGTCCCCTTTCCAGTTCTTGACGGAGGAGGGGAACTTGTAGAACAATTCCTGGCAGCCCTTGTCCCCCCGGCTCTGGTCCCCGGCCCGGCGGCTGAAGTAGTACCATCCGGGGAAGGAGGCCTTGAGGACGAAAGCGGCTCGGAAGAGGGAGAGGGAGTAAGGAATGGAGCAGATCTGGCAGTAGATCAGGAATTCAATGACGATCCTGATCGAGTTGGGGTGAGCCTGGGTGATCCTGAGCCCGAAGTAGCTCAGAACCTCGGCCAGGGCTGGAGTAACCTGAAGGCGGAGCCCTCCGATCAATTGCTCCTTGTATATGACTACGAAGCCATGGGGAGGTCGGCAGGCTCGGTCGTCGGGCCCGGCAGCCCTTGGCTCGAAGGCCGGGGGAATGGAGTAGGTCCTGACCAGGCCGGCCACTGCCTCGGGTGAGATGGTGACCTCCTCGTGGTCGGGGTGGCCGAAGTTGAACTCAGGAGCGACCCCCTGCGGGTTGTCAGGGGTCCCCTCGAAAGAGTCCCTGTCATCCCCAGCTCCCTCCTGGGCCCCGCCAGGAGAGCCATGGGGAGACTTGGGGGAAGAAGTGGAGGACCGCCCGAGGTAAGCATCGAGCTCGGCCACCTCCTCCAGTTCCCGGGCTGAAGGGGAATGAGCTGAGGGGGAATGGTCAGAAGGGGAGCTCATCGCGGCCAGAGGTTCTGGCAAATCAGGAATGCGGGAGAGGGAGCTAGGACCGGAGTCAGGCGAAGAAGGAGAGAGGGGAGGAGGAGAAGATGGCGATGAAGACGAGGCAGAAGGCGAAGACAGTATGATGATTCTGGGCACAGGGGAAGTGTTGCCGGAGTAACCCGACATAAAAAGCAAGGGGTAGCAGAGGACGGAAGAGACGCTGTGAAAGGGGGAGAAATTGCAAGAGGAACTTACTGATGGTATTGAGGCAGAGGGAGAGTGGAAGGCTCGCCGGGAACTGGAGATGGGACACCGGAAGTCGCCGGGAAATGGAAATGCGAGTGCACAAAGGAAATGGGAGTGCAAAATGCGCAAGGGGAAGGAAAAAATGGCAAATAGAGTCGATCGGAGTATGATTACCCCTATTTATAAGGGAAGAAATGGGGGGAAAACGGTTGAGTGAATTTGAACCGGCCCCCATGTGAATGCATTTAATGCTGGTACGGAAACCGAAAAGGCGTGACAACTGAAAGGACGCGGGCGCAGCGTCCCTGTGACAGCACTGTGCCAGAAGTGACCTGGGCAGGTCAGTGCGCGGACCTGGCCTCCCACGTGGCAGAGGTTGATTAGGTCCGCCCGATAGCCTACCTAATCAAGGGGGCTAGTGCAGTGGCCCCGTTCTGGGCCTAGACACGTGGCAGCCCAGGCTCAGCCGAACCGGGCCACGGCCCCTGATGTCCGGGCAGGCATCTTGGGCCGTCCCGCTAGGGCTCGCGAATGGGGCAGGGGTCCACGCCGAAGAGGTCGGGGACAATCCCCCTGAGTGCGGGATACTATCCATACTGGGCAAGTCCCGCATCGTGCGGAGGTCGGACTCCCCCACCAGGTATAAATAACAGCAGACATCAACTGTACAAGGTACGCTCAATATAGGCAAATTACTCCCGGTCGTTACTACTTCCCGTGAACCCTACTCGCCGGAAAACTAACTTGACCGTCGGAGTGCCCTCGGGGACAACCCTCGGGCCCCCTCTGTTAGCTCATCTCTTCTGTTTTGCAGGCTTGGAGTCAGCTCTGCCGTCAGCACCCCGAGCTGATCAGGTCAGCTCTCCTCGAGGAAGTTCCGTGCTTCTTCAGTATACATCAAAGCATGTTGAATGATATGATACTTCTGAACACAAACTTTTACACAAGCAAGTCTAATTGGACGTAATCTAGATATTGGAGGAGGACAGCATACTGAATCAAGTAGAAAATTTGACAATTGAAAGTCCCCATAGATTGCTTTATTCTCAGCACCATGTAGAAAAGCTAGTCCTTTTGCACCTCAAAGAGCAGCCTCTAATTGGAGATTCCAAGAGAATTGTTAAAAGCAAGATCC